CGCCTTATCCCGTAAAGCGCCCTACTCGCGCCCTCTCCATGTAAAGCGCCCCAGATTTGCGCCCCAACTTTTTGGAATCGGATTAATTATTATACGTGAAAGCGGATATCTAAAGAGGTAGTAACACTGCGCCCACCTTATTGCGCCCCACGTAGCGCCCATACCATTTGCGCCCAGTATCGTATTCTAAGTAATCCTAAATTAAAGCGCCCAAAAATAGCGCCCGGCAAAGCTAAGTCTAGCAAAGCGCCATGTTTCGCGCCCGCCTTTTGCAAAAGCGCCCTAACATTGCGCCCTCACAAGAAAAACGAAGCTTGGTAATAAAGGGAAAATTAATGTGGAAGTAAAGCCAATTGGCAAGGAAACATAAATTCTTATATATAAAAAACAATACGCAAGGAAAGGCATTACAAGATAAGCAAAAGATAACACCCGAGGACAGCTAATCTACTCGGCGCCTGAATTCGCATCCCCAGCACTAGGCGCCCTAGGAGAAGGAGAGGTGGGAGCTGATGGCTCGGGCGCCTCACTTGTCCCGCGAGGCGTCTCCATCCCGCCGATCACATACTCGGCCATCTCCGAGAGATCCCAAGTAAGGTCAGGATGGTCCTTCTGCAGCTTTCCCCGCAGGATTTCAATGCCGGTCAGGACGGCATTGGCGCACATGGACTTCCCGGTCTCCGACTCCATCAGGTTGTCTAAGGATTGCCGAAGTTCGGAAATTTCTTTCCGGGCCCTCTTCAAGGATTTCTCGCTCTCCTTGTGGGCGTCCTTCAGCCTCCTCTTCTCCTCCTTAAGGATGTCGATTTCACTGGCCTGGGCGCCAGCTTCCTGCGCCAGCACATCCTTCTCGGCCTGCAGGGTGGCCAGTTTATTGCGCTCCTCGTCCAGGGCGCCTTGCAGACGAGACAACTCCATGGTGGCCGTCATCTAGGCTTCCTCACATTCCTTCGCAAACTGCTCGCGGCGTGCAGTTGCGTTCTCCAGATCCAACTTCAGCTGAGCAGCCGAAGAGGAAGCCTCGAGCGCCTCCCTTTTCGTCTCATTGAGGCGTCGGGCGCCTCTTTCAGCAAAAAGAAGGATCTGCCACCATTGGAAAAGGGTCAGCAAGTTGTGCAAAATAACAAGTAGAAAGGATATGAAAATACAAGTGCGAAGAAGCATACCTTAGCGCCCACTTGGGCTAATTCAGCAAAATGGTGATCACTGGTCACCTCGGATGGTACTTGCCAGGACTTGGCGGCCGCGATTGCCAAGCCCATGGCACACCCTCGGTCAACGGCGACCAAGGGGGAACAGTTCATGTTGACCCGTCCCACCTCGGTACGCCGTGGCCGAAAGATGGGGGGGGCGCCCGTCGGGGCCAACATAGCGCCCCTCTTCATTCAGATGAATTCGGGCGTTCTCCACCGCCTCCGCCTCCACGCCCACCTCATCGTAGGCGTCCTCCTCGCAGGCGTCCTCCTCGCCTACCTTCTTCTTGCCCTTGGCGGCCCTTTTACTGGCCGAGGTTAAGGGGGAGCCCGCCCTCTTCCCCTTGCGGAGCAAAGGCTCCTCTTCCTCTTCCTCTTCCGCGGAGTTAACCTCCTTATCCGCGGGGTCGACATCAGGCGTCCCCTCGCCTTCTTCCGGGGCGGACGACGCCACGCTTGCCGTGTGCGCCTGAGCGGTGCCACCCTTCACCGCCCTCTTCTTCCCTTTCTTTTTCTTGGGGACGACGGGCGGCGCCTGTGATTGGGTGGCAGGTACCGCTGGTTGACGGAGCGCCTCTTGCTGGGCAGGCGCCCCTTGCTGGGAAGATGCCGCCGCAGCCGCCACCATAGTCGCCAGCTTACTTTTCATAAGCTTAGCGATGCTCGAGTAGTCCGCCCCTGCATATGACAAAAATGAGTTAGTACATAACGCAAAAACAAGAAAAAAAAGGGATAAGGACGCAGAACACCTAGACGCCTACACACCATCGTTATAATAAGCCTGAATAATAGGCGGACGATTCTCGGCGGGGCGTAAGTCAACAGGCTCCCCATCGCAAATTAAGGGGGCGTCTGCCTCCTCAGATGCTGTCAAAACCACCTCCTTATTAAAATCATCGACCTGGCCCAACGCCCATCTCCTAATGAAGGCGCCCCCACTCGCAAAGAAGGAGTCCTGATAAGCCTTCATGAAGAAAAAACCGTTGAACCAGCTTCGGTTCAACTTGGGGCATTTCTTCACGAAATGATAGGGGCGCTTCTTGCGTTTCTGGAGAGAAAGGCAATTGTCGAGGGGCACCATTTTGAAGAAGTATCTAAATAAATTGAAGGTAGGCTCCACGTTGTGCTCCCGGCACCTCAATTTGAACAAGATGACGACCGTTATGACCGAGGGAGAGAGGCGCCCGAGGGGGCAGGCGCAAGTTGTCAGGATCCCCTCCATGATTGAGTCAAGGGGAAACTGCAGCCCGAAGCGAAAATATTCCTGATAAATCCCGATCCATTTCGGGCCACAGACGCCCACCCGAGACAGAGGCGAGGGGGGCGCATACCACCAGTCTCGGGGAAGTTGGAGGCTGGTCACCAACTCGTGAACATGCTCCAAGGTGACTGTGGACGTGTGCTTCGGCCCGGCCACCTCGAAGGATAGATGAGACGTCTCGGCAGGCAGATGATCGGGAGGAAAACACTTCTCCCATGAGGTAATCTTGTAAGACCCGTCGGCCGGCACAAACCCAGGCGCCGAGGAACTCGACGGCCCGGCAGACGATGATGGTCCACCAAATGCTGAAGCAGGCGCCCGCTCTAAACCAACAAATGACCCAGACGCAACGTGGACAAGGGGTAAGTGACGCCCCTACTCTAAGTGACTAGAGTAAAAACTCAACGAAATCGACGAAAGGAGAAGGACAACTTACCACGTTGAACTGGGCGCCTTGCTTCACCGCCGTCGCCCGAGGCGCCTGCGCCCGAGGCGCCGGGTGCAGAAGTCTTGTCTTGTTGTGGAGACGACATTTTTTGGACGAGAGTGGTGTCTTGGACGCGCAAAGCAGAGAGCAAAGGGGACAGAGGTCAGAGCGGAAGCTAGAGAGAAGTCAGAGCAAACTTCTAGAGAGAGGACAAATAGAAGAAAGTGACAGCTTCGCAAAAGGGGGGGGGGGTATTTAAAGAAAAACAGGGGCTCACCCGTCGCATGACACGTGTCAGTCATGCCGAAGGAACCCTTCCGCTCCCCACCACCTTTTGGTCTTTTCGCGCGCCACAAAATCACGGGCGGACCTTTGAACTTCCCCCACCCTTTCCTTTTCGGGGAAATTTCTCAAATTTCAAATTTCGAATTTCAAATTTCGAATCTTGAATTTCGAATTTTCTTTTCTCCAAATTTCCCCGACAAATAAAGCGTGGGTGAGGGGGGCATAAGGGATAAGGACACTCGTCAAGAACGACACCATGAAGCGCCCGAAAGGAAAGGATAGTAAAAAAGGCGCCCCTGTTGGTAAGAGGCGCCTCGGCGGGCAAGATGCACAGGAGCACCGGGAAGAGCATTCGATAAGGGATGCAGCCAAAGGCGGAACGCCTGACTGCAGAGGAGGAGAGGCAAACAAACCTCGTAGGACCAAGAAAGTGAGACTACGATGCAGGCGCCGAGTGACAAGCGCCCTGCAATCAAGCAGAAGGCTGGGTTGCAACTAGAAGTTCAGTCAGGCGCTCGATGGCGAAGCCACGAGCACCTAACTGGGGGGGGCAATTGTTGGGGGTATTACCCAGCGAGCTAGGGGACAAAGGCCAAAAGAGTAAAATACCAAGAGCCAGGTGGCGGCCAACCGGCTGGTGGACCACGGCCTGGGGCGCCTGTCAGGTGTCAGGAGTCTGACAGGGCGGTTAGCTGTCACACAGAGCACCAAAAGCCAGGTGGCGACCAACTGGGTGATGGACCACGGCCTGCGGGCGCCTGTCGTGTGTCAGGAGCCTGGCAGAGCTGTGGAATGCCAGTCAGGTGTCAGGAGCCTGACAGGGCGGTTAGCTGTCTGGGGGCGCAGAGCATTGAATGAGGGAGGTGACGTGGCGGAGATCAACCTCGGGTTCGGTGAGTATAAATAGGGGCAGACGATAGCATTTACGCAGGTTGGTCTCTCTCACAAAAACTACTCTCAAGCACTTATCTCTCTAGAAAAGTGCACTGACTTGAGCTTCGGAGTGCTAACGGGTCGACCAAGGCCCTTAGGCGCTTGTGGGTGCAGGTTCCAGGCGCCCGGGTGACGGAAAAGTGTAAAGGTGAAGGATAAGCGCTCGGTGGTATCGAGGCACAAACACTATCAATTGATTTCTCAATAATATTTATATCTCATATAAATATACATCATTTGTCAATATTATCCTGCACCTAGCACAGCCAAAACACAATCAATTAAGTATACTACTGTGTACAATGTGTGTATGTATATCATTCATTTGGCTTTTGGCCTTTCACCCTTTAATTTGGCACCATCTGTAATTGTATTACCCACCCACCTTGGATTCCAACTAACCCTATTTTTCCCCAAACCTTTTTGTCTCCTCCCCAACAATATATATAACAAAATCAAATTAAATTAATATAGTATACAGTAGGAAATAATAAAATATATTCATAATAAAATCAGACAGACAACTGCAGCAGAACAGAAGACCCAACCTCTGCTTTCTGAACTAACTGGTTCCCCCATCCTCAAATCTTTTTTTAAGAAAGAATTATAGAGAACATGCTTCTGTTCATAATATTGGTCTCTGCCAAAACGCATTTAACAAAAACCACAGAAATAATAATAATAATAATAATAATAATAATAATAATAATAATCCTCCCACTAATATATTCATTAATCAACTACTAAACCAAAAAGATTCTCCTTTCATCCCAAGAAGATTACCCTTTTTTACACACAGAGCAGCAACCTAATCCAATGATGATCAGAAAATAATATCAATATAATAAAATTATAAAATTTTGGGAAATAAATAAATTCTACAGACCTTTCTTTCTTTCTTTATTCATTCATTACCCACCAACAAAAAAGCACAATGCAACATAAAAAATGGATCAACAGCAAGAAAAAATAAGAAAAGGAAGATTAAACTATCAATCTATACACATAACCCATATAGAAATTTATAATAATATGAAAACCATGAATATCTCCATTCTCCTCCCTCCATGCTTCCACCACCACCACCACCACAAACCACTCTCTCAAGAATCTATGCTCTTTCTTTCATCTCTATTCACAAACAAAAAAACAATACTATTCTGAACCAAACCGACCCCAAACCGAACCGACTCAAGTAACCTGACTCGACTCATCCAAACAGAATCAAACACCAAAATCCCACCTTCCCCACCACCATCACCCATCCACATTCATGAATGTACCCCAAGACACACATTCCATTATTCCATTCTGGCCAAAACATGCTTCATTTGTTCTGGGTGTTTTATTCTCACATAGAAATGGCCTCACCATTGACTGCTGCGGCTGCTCTGTGGCTCCTCCGGTGCCTCCTCCCGTGGTGGCGGGGCCTACCTCCACCGAATGTAACCGGATCGAACGACTTCAGATGCTGAGCTTCTTGCGGGCTGATCACGCATTCGGGCAGTGGGACCTTGTACCGAACACGGTCGTAGCAGTAGGAGTACGTCATGTACTTGGTCCTGAACCTGTCCATCCTGGTCCTCTGCGAGCCTGAGATTGCTACGGCCTTCAGTAGCGTGGTGTAGGTGGTGTCGCATGTCGTGGTGGAGTGTTCTGTGGGATCAGCGGCGCAGCCATGGAGGGCAAAGTCGGAGAACTCGGTAGTGTAAGGTGCGTAGTTGTAGTTCACCCTGTACTTCCCTCCGTTGGTGGCCCAGTCCGATCCATCCCATATCGTCGCGTACAGAGACATTGGCTTCGAAGGGAAATCTCCACCCATCGTGGCGGTTCTCACCACTTCTCGAATCGGAACATCATCCACGTAGAATCTGCAGCGAGAGAGAAGCCGGTGTCATGAAAGGTGTACTTTCGAAGACTTGGCAAGGGGTGTACTAAGTACTAGCAGAACTTTCACTTTCAACATCCCCACATCACAAAAAATGCATACCATGTTCTGTGTGTTGGACTGTTTTAACAACAGCTTGCACAAAAGAGGATCTTGCGTGCAATCTAAACGTATAATTCAAAACGTGTAGACATGTAACTTTCCTATTCCTTTTCTCAGGAAACAAACACAAGACAATGAGCTAATCAGCCTACACAGACTTGCTACAAACAGGAAATTTACAGTTGAGCAATGTGTGTGCTAGTTTCTTTGACAAAACAGGACTCATGTAAAAATGGTAAAAAGAAAACAACTTTTATCTCTTCTCCACCAGACAATCAACATCACAAAACAACGCAATGTTAAGAGATAACCATCATCATCATAATCAAGACCATCAGCGGAGAAATTGAACAATGGACAATAGGCAGGAGCTCTCACATGATAAGGGAATCAGTCCAGAGAATGGAGTATCGATGGAAGTCATCGGCCGGATCAAACCAAAGGCTATATCTCTCTTCTCTGCCAAGGGCTGTGCTTCCATTGCCATATATATTTGTTTGTATCCTCCAATCTTTACCCCTAATGTTCCCCAAGAACTCGAAGTCAATCTCATCATGGTTCTTCTCGTATGTATCGCCATTGGACATCTGTCATACACATAATCGGGCAAGGATTAGAATCCGTTATCCAAGTTTCCAAACCCCCTTTTCCGGTTTCTGTTAGCAAAAAAGAAATGCCAAAATTTTCGATCCAAAAGGTGGGTTTCAATCCTTGTCCGTTTCAGTTTCAATCAAAACCAAATCCCCCCAAAAAACCCTGCTGCAGAATCGGTTATAATAACAAGTCAATGGATAGAGAGAAGGGAGAAAAGGGTGCGATGAAGGAGGACACTCACATAGAAAGCAACCACAACTCCAGCAGTGTAATCTGCAGGGAGCTTAATGGAAGCACTGAAGTAGCCGTGTAAGTAAAGGTCCTGCGAAACGAATCCAGACCCTGCTCCAACCAACCACACAGACGAATAAAAGTAAACTTCAGTCAGACAATAACACAAACACGATAGCTGCAAAATGGAAAACAGAGCAAAAGAAGAAGAAAAAAAAAGACCTGTTCTTTCATCAAGAGATAAGTGGACGGTATGCCCATCCCTGTGAACAACCAGATTGTCTTCCCCAAAAAGCTGGGTGTAGCCCTCATCAAAGGGGACAACAGGCAAGTTCCCATGGTGGAACCCAGATACACAAACCAGAAGCAGAGTCAGGAAAAGGCCACAATAACCCACTACAGACTTCCCCATTTTCTCACCTCCCCTGTTTTTTCAAATCAATCAATGGTATCTATACAAAACTTCAAACTTTCAAACTAACCCAGAACAAATTTCAAAAAGAAAAGAAACCCAAAAAGTCTATCCCCTCCCTTCTCTGTAGTGCAACAAGAAATATGTATCTCTAGTGTATAAATATGGCTGAAGCAGAGAGAAGAAGAAGGAGCCAAAACTAGAAGGAAAAAAGAAAAGGCAGAGTGAGAGAGAGAAAGAGCCGTGTGCTGGAGGGGCAATGAAGGATGGCCAGAAAATTTTCTTTCTCTAGAGCTCTACAGAGAGAGAGAGAGCTGGGAGAGAGAAAACCAGAGCTCTACAAAAAGGCTAATGAGAAAGTGGAGAGGAGAGGAAGGAGTCCAGTTTTTAATGGGTAGAGAGAGAAAAAGGAGACTATGCCTATGAGGTTTATTTGGGGAAAATAAAATATAAATAAGGAAAAATATTGAAGAAAAAGAGAAGTGTGGTTGAGCTGTAAATGTCTATTGATTGATTTTGTGGAGCTCTGGGGACAGATTATTGATTTTCCGAGGTAAAACTTAAATAAATAAAAAATCCGGAATTGTGGATCCATTGGCGAAATTTTTCCAACCTCCCAGATTAATTAATTGTTATCCCTTTACGAGGTTATTATTTTTTTAGTAATGGGCTGAATTTTTTGACAAATATTATTATATTCCGATATTGCCCATGGAGACCGTTTGTTCACCCACGCTGGGGGGTTTCCTTGTGCAGAGCAGAACCCAGATTTGTTCTTCCTTTATTTATTGCCTCTCTTTAAGATTGAAAATTCGTATCGAAAAATGTTATATTTAAGATTAAATCGATAAGGTATCTAGCGACATAACAAAAAGGAAGAAAAAGATTAAAAGATGAGTTATTTGAAATAATTATCCTTTAGTGTGTTATTATGTCAATGAACTCAATGTGAGTTTTTTCAATTAATTCACAGTCAGATTACCACACTTGATTTATTTGGATCGAAATTTTCACAGTCGTGTAGATTATATTTTAATAGAATGAAGTTTCAAATATTTTTTTTTATTCCAAATATTTGAAACTTCAATTAAATTGAATCGCATATACAATTTCAAATGCATAAAATTTGACAATGAAAAAAATTAGATATTTGTTCAACTCTACCAAACATGCGCACATTTTTATTTAACATGTGTTTGGTAGATATTGCTATCGCAAAACACTATGGATTTAAATGCTAACAAACTTCGGTTTTGTAGTAATCTTCATTCTTCAGAATAGATCTTCGAGAGAGAGAAAATAACTGAAAATATGCATAAAACAAGGTCAGAGAAAATATGCATAGAAAAGTATTGAAGCTGTAATAAGTAAGAACATAACTATTCTCCCCAAAATACTGAATAATCAGAAAGTATATAGGGCATATTTCATTGAAAATTGGAAAGTTCGGTATTTCATTGAATTAGTATTTCCGTTTTATAAGTAGGAAAGGAAGTCGCATAAAATTTTACTCAAAAAATATCTTTGCCGTTCACAGTTCGGTTCTAGTCACTATGTGGTCAAACCATCCCGATCCATATCGGTTTTTAGCAAGGCACGAAATACATCGTAAAATATTCATTATGATTCCACTCATTAAACGCAAAATTTTGTAGTACCGACAAGCCGTGATGGTGCAAAATGGTATAATTATGAGTCCAAATTGTACAATGAGTGGTAATCATGCTCCAAAAGACTTATAATATCGATGGACTTATGTATCATTGATTCGTTTAGTCATTTAAACGCTCTTACAAATGCAACGTGTTTGAGTGTTTCTCATTCTGTCGCTAATATTCTCTGGAGTAGGTAATATGACGATGATCAACGTGAATGATTCCGCTCCCGTTTTAAAAATTGTCATTCTAACAAATACACTTTATAAACATAGCTTCTTTGCTTGAATGTCTATGTGGTTGAATCCATAAATAATACTCTGAATACAATGGTTATTCATAAACTATTGATAAAATAATACCCCAATTTTGCCGAAGGAAAACGGTGGGCAGCTCGGCCGCGCTCGAAACCCGTCCGCCGCATCTCCCCGTGACCATGATCGGACGACGATGGGTCCCGCCGCCGCGTATGTGTGTGTTTTTTTCGGTTACGGGCCCTCCATCGCCCACGTGGCAAACCGTGTCTATTAGCTAGGCGCCGAAATACAGTGAGTGGACCCACGCGATTCTCGTTGAATTCATGTCTACTCCAGTCCTTTGCGCCCGCCCGCCCTTTCTTTCTATTTTTTTTTTTATGATTAAAAGATCGTATCACAGCTATGGGAGGAATTTTACAATGCTGTATAGTATTGGTGCTGTAAGTTTTTTCATTATGGTACAACTTGAAATTGTACCTTTAACGTTATAGTACAACTTCAGCTTGCACCTATACTTTTTGTACAAATTTTTTTATGGTACAACTTTACAACTTGAAGTTGTATCATCACATAATGATACAAATTCCTTTATTGTACAACCTAAACTTATACATTTAATGTTATGGTACAACTTAAAGTTATACATTAAAGCACCAATGCTATATAGCATAGTAGAAGTGCTCAACCTAAGGGTGCAAACGAGCTGAGTCGAGTCGAGTTTTTGCTTAGTTTGACCTCGATTCGTTTATAAATTTTTCAGCTCGAGCCGAATTTGGATAATCAAGCTCGAGCTCGGCTCGATCAAAAATAATTCAGCTCGAGCTCGACTCGATAGAGCTCGGTAAATGCTCATTAAAACAGCTTGTCAAGCTGAGTACAAGCTCGACTCAAGATAAGCTCGATTTGAAATCATTCTTGTTGATAAATGCATACACATTAGAATTTAAATAATAAAAAGAACACTAGAAACTAAAAATAACAGCTAGCTTCCATACACATTCATATTAACAAGATAATGTTCATGTTAAGAAGAGTTATTAATCATTCCACAAGCTCTACAAAAGCCAGCTCGCGAGCTTAGCTCAACAAGCCACCGAGTCAAGCTAACTCACGAGCTTATCAAGCCGAGCATGGTCTAGCTCAAGCTTGGCTCGTTTACTAACGAGTCGAGCATCAAATGAATTTTTTCCCGATTCGAACGCCGAGTTGCTCGCGAGCGATTTGGCTCATTTGCAGTGCTAACCACACCTGATGGTTCGCCAGTAAGCCTTCTTACCGAAAGCAAAACTAATAGGCGATATGAAATTATTGAACTTACAATATTTTATCGCTAACTTTTTTTACACTACTTATGGTACGTTATTTCAATCCTTGTTTTTTTTTCATATTCTTGTATAATTAGACTCACCACAATGTGGTGTGGTTTAGGGGGGAAAGAGGAGAAATAGCCCACAATGTGGGTGGGAAAGAGGGAAAAAGTGGAAAAAGGGGAAATTTCGGGTGGGAAACCCCGCTAGAAGAATACAAAAGGTGGGGGAAATGAGAAGGGGTGGGGCCCACGTCAGTTTGTTTTTATTTTATTTATTATTATTAGTTTAATTGTTTAGTGTTTATTTTTAGGGTTTAGTGTTTATTTGTTTGCTTTTATTTCTTCTTAATTATGTTTATATTCAACTATCAATGTAACAACTTTTTTTTTTGTGTGAATGTAACAACTTTTTTGTATAAATTATTGCGATTTCGTCATTAATGACATTGATTAGTGATGGAAAATTGATTTTAAAAAAAAAGTGTTCAATCAATTATCCTTTTTTCTCACATCAACATTGTGACCAAACCCTCTCATTTTCCCTATTTTCCCAACTTTCTCAACCTCCCACATTGTGGATGGTCTTATCACTGCCCATATTACTACCATGCTCTTCGCTTAAAATTTACAACAATGACACCACGAGGCTCATGTGAATCCGCGGCTTTTGAGGGCAAAGTTGGCAAGCTGACGAAAATGTTGTGCATTTTCCCAATGGAAAATGGGGCGGCGCGATTGGCTGACCAAATCCATCCCTATGCACTGCAAGTCTGCAGCTGTCCCCATCTTTTTCTCCCCATATTTTTTTCCATAATATTTTTACATGTAATTTGTTAATACATTCCAAAGTAAATTTCATCCTAACGCTTATTATTATTATATGTTATTCTATTATTAAGATAATTTACATGAATGATTGACAAAGTGAAGACATACAAGTGATACTTCTTATATGTCAAGCCCTATCAAAAGTTCATTCTTAACAAGTTTCGTACGAACCACACGAACAGATTTTTATCATGTACGTCCTATTTTAACTTCTATATCATTATATTTTAACCTTGTGGTAACCATTTCTTGTTTGAAAAGGGTATCGACTTTTTGCCACAAAAGTATATGGCTATTGTTTGTTTGGGAGGGGGTCTCTCTTATTTTATATATGCAAAAAAATAAGCAAATTATTCATAATCCTTTTCTTGCATTGTGCTCCTCCTCCTCCTCCTCCTCCTCCTCCTCTAAACTCAACCTTTTGTTATTCTTTCCCCTTTTCATTTACTTTTATATATATATATCATTATTATTATTTACCCCTCCAATTCTGTTTCCACTTTTCCTCCGGTTCAAGGCTCCAAAGAAAAGAAGAGAGGATTCAACGTTATACGATTACTTTCTCGTACAATAACAAAACCTTTATGGGGGACTAGCTACTTGAGTCTTGGAGAAGGGATAAAGTGCAAAGTAATGGGGGAGTATTGTTAATCCTTGGAGTGGGGAGTTTTCGGTTCCCTTATTTTCTTAATAGTTTGTATTATAATTTATAAATGACTCTTGATCAACATTCAAACAAAGATTTTATTTTCTATTTTCTATGAGGCTGAATTAAATCTTATTTTCTTTTTGTCGCGTCGATTATGTTCTTCATTGATTTTTTCTCCGTTAAATCTTTCTTGTTGATTGTATTCTCGCATACGATACACAGATATAATGCTAAATTCTACGACATAAAGTGAAAGAGTAAGCTACGTATTGTTATGTATGAAAGAATGAAGAGGATGACATGATTAATCAAGTCAAATTATTTGAGAGATTGAGACCTTCTATTCACTCACGTATGGTATTTACATCAAGGTCGAAATATTATATAATATTAGAGCAAAAAAATATTAGTTATTTGATTAAATACGATATAAATTAGACACTAAGGGTCAAGAACGGATCAAAACCGGGATCGGTAATGGCATAAAGATAACCCATGCATATTTGTGTTGCACCTCTAAAACAAGTACTAGCCACCAAAAATAATTGGGGATAAATTAGATAAACCAAGTTAAATCGAAATTGGTATCATGTTTCTATATGCATTAAAAATATTAAAGAGGTGTTTGCCAAAAAAAATATTAAAGAGGTTGAACTAATGACATCTTTTAATAATAATAATAATAATAATAATAATAATAAAGTAGTAATAATAA